CCCCCGCCCCGGGCGGGGGGGGGGTTTTTTTTTTTTTTTTTTTTTTTTTTTTTTTTTTTTTTTTTGTGGCCTAGCAAGAAGCGGCTTCCTTTCCTGAGCTGTTGGTATCTTCTTGCCTGGATTCAGTCATTCCCAAAGGAATGGAGGAATGCAGCTGATAAATCCTTAACCACCCTGTGCTCCCGTAGGCAGCGCCAGAAGCTGGCTTCATCTTCTCCACTTTGGCACTTTGGGGGTGGGCCCCTCTTTGTTACCTGCTCTGGGTACCTTTCTAGTGGCACTGTAGACCAAAGGAGATGGAAGAAAAGGAGCGATGTGATAAATTCCAGCTGGTACCTTGAGACTAAGGGGATTCATAGTTTTTGACGTTTGGTGTTTTGGTTTGTTTTTTTTTTTCCTGGGGAGGGGAGGGAGGGAAGTATTCTATTTTATGGGGTATGGGAGGAGGGAGGAAAAATATGTTGCAGATCTCTATGTGGTTTTTAAAACCAGCCATCAGAGGCAATTACTGAATAAACTGAAGCACAAGAGGAGGGTTTGTGAGCTGGAAGCAGTGCTAGCCTACAAAAGAAAGGGGCAGTGGGCTGCTGTTGTGACTGTGGAGGAAGAAACTTCAGCCTCCGTCGTTTCTCACCACCTACTCTCCATCCACCCTGCGAGAAAATGAGTTGCGTGCCATGGAAAGGTGACAAGACCAAATCAGAATCACCAGAGCCGCCCCAGCTACCACCACTGCATATTTACCATGAGAAGCAGCGTAGGGAGCTGTGTGCCCTCCATGCCCTCAACAATGTCTTCCAGGACAGCAACGCCTTCACTAGGGAAACCCTGCAAGAGATTTTTCAGAGGTAGGATGCTCTCTGCCCTGGCATTCACTTCCCCTTGTCCTCTGCCGCTTGGAGGAATTTTCAGATCTTATTTGGGGGGAAAAAAAGAGCAAAGGAGGGGTTCAGAGTATACCACTGCTTTGAAGTGAATGTAGTTTCTTTTTTAAATTCTTCCCCTCCTTTTTCCCCCCTCCTCTCTCCATGCAGAAATTCTCTGTCTTTTTACTTGTTTCTTAAACTATGCTGGCTGCCAATTTTGGGTCCAAGGGCTTTATTGCTGATGCTGTCATGCGGTTGAACTGCTGTCTTTCCCCCCCACACACACCTTAATGCATCTTCTACCCGTCTTCCATATTTTTGCCCCTGCCTCATGTAGATATGTTAATAATGGATTTGGGGATTGGCTTGGGAGAGTGAAGGCGGCAGGAATGACGAATGGGTCATCACAAAAACTTCTTGATTTAATACTGCAACGCTTCTAAAGTTTTTGTTTTGTTTTAAATTAGGAGCTTTGCCAAATGAATGACTCCTTATTCAAGCTGTTAAATGAAGTTCTTCAGGTGTTATGGGTTTTTTTTTCCGTGCAGAGAGACCCTATACACTGTGTCAACCCGGGTTTAATTTCAATAGCTAGATCCCCATTTTTTGTGGCATTGCTAAATGTTTCCCAGCAATGTCAAATAATTAATAAAAGCATTTTTGAGTCTTACTGGAATAAACTTTATTTAGATTATATAATATAGATTATTAATATGGCCTGTACAATAGCTCATGTTTTGATAAATGTTTACTTTATGCTGTTTCGTTGCTTTGTGAAAATTCTGAACGTGCCCTTAAACTGTGATGATCCTTCACTGATGAAGCAAAGTAAGCAAGTAGGAAATGGTGTCTCCTCTGATACTCAATCTGTGGATGTGGTACTCATTGTATAAGTTACGCTTGAATACCTGTTAACCAGCAGTTGACAGCACCTTGTGTTTGTGACAGGTAGGAAATCACGCTTCATGACAGCAGTTATGCAGGTACTGATGGACAGGGCAGTCGTGGTACCCTGTGCTGATGAGCAGGGAGCTGTGCGCCTGTTGCTGCTGTCCTGAAAATCGGCAGATTTATGGAACTGGTGCTTGACTCATCAAACGCGTCCTGTCTTTGGCAAAAGAAATTTAGTGATGGTTAACAGCAAATATCAGATCGAAATGCTATTTGCGATAGCATTGGAAATAAAATTTCTGTTGGTGAAGTGGAGCTGGTCCCCGGCAGGCTCAAGGCACTCTTTGTCCAGTGTAAAGACGCTATGGTTTTGTTCCAGAGCAGCAATCATCAGAATCTTAATCACAGATGGATTGCTATTGGCCTGAAGCAAACAAAGGCAGTTCATGTGGTAGAAGGAGTGTGATGATCTAATTAGTTGGCTTTCATTAGGTTTGGTGAGAGAGAGTTAGTGTGCAGCATGAAACCTCTCAGAAAGAGCTGGGATGTTGATCTGGTTGGACCTCTTGCCCTAGAAGGGAGAATTTGTCATTGATTCCAACCTGGCATTGTTCCCATCCTAATATTTGGATCAAGATACACCCATTGATTCAGCCCCACGGTCGTATGGAAATACACATGGAAGTTCCTCTCAGAAATGGGTGAGCTGTAAGCTATGTGTAAGAATTGCCACTGCCTTTGCATCTCTGCTGGGTTACTACTCGTGTCTAGCTCTTCGACTTGCCTTTAAGAAGCATAGATTTAGTTGCCCTTTATACCCTTATGTCTTTCCTGTGTCTAGTCATATTCTGTCTGTTGATGACTCTGATAAGGACTGATGAATATTTTTAATAAGCTACAAAAATGTTGCAGAGTGTGATTTTTTTTTTTAAACCCAATGTTGACAAGGTAACAAAATCACAAATAAGCTTAAGCTTTTTGTGGCTTTTACCACATCCCTTGAAGAACGATTGAACTGCATCGCTTCATTATTAGTTTCCCTTTTGCTGCATCCCATTGCATAAGGCCATTGTAGTCTGATGATTATCATCTTAAGTGTATGCCAATACTTGGTCCAAGCTCCCCTCTGATTTTTGTAGTCCTCCCTCTCTTCTTTCCTCTAATACAAGAAACACCTTTTTGGTGTTCCTCTGGCTTTTGTTGCACTAAGTAAGATGGCATGTTCCAAATGTTGCATGGAGGTACAAACAAAATCTCTTTGCTTCACTGGAGTCTGTGTATTGAGACCTGATTAGGAAAGACAACTGCGTACAGGAATCTTCAGCCTGTTGTGTTAAGACAACATGTTGATGAAAGTTTCTGACTTAGAAAGCTCAGAAGGATTATTACCTGGATTTCTGTCCAGCTTTGTCAGTCTTCCTCAGCTTAGTGTCTGGATTAAAAAAAAAAAAAAAATTTAACTTTGGGCAGGCAACTTAATTCCCTGTCTAATCAGAGTCCTTCAGCTGATGATTGTGGACCCTGTTCAGGTGTGTGTAAGTAGAGATGTTGAGGCAATTCTTGGAGAAGGTTTGCTCCCGGGTTCTTTGAGCGTGTCACCTATGCTGGTCTCTTCATCTCATTTCTGAGGCTTTGCAAGTTATGGGAAGGAACAAAGATAGATGTGTTCTTTCAGCTCTCAGGTAAGCCTGTCTCTGGAAGACGGTGCCACAAGAGGGTGCTTGTGCAACCCAAAGGGCTCTGTTAATTGGAAGGCTTTCCTAGCTCGCTGGCACTCAATAGGTTGAAGCAGTGATCTTGAGAAATTAGTTGTAGCCAAGTGATCTTGCTTTATGGAGATGCTGGAAGAGCTGTGACAAGCTACGGTTGCGTCTCTGTGATGAGTAAAATATAGCAGGGCTTTGGAGACTGGAAACCATGATTCTGTGAAAATGTCACTGCCTTGCTCGGGAATGCCCAGTGGTGGGTATTAATACCTTTTCCTATTACTGCGTTGTTTTGGACTCTTCTCCCTCCTGTGGTTAGGTCACTTCCCAGGCTGTTCTGCTGCAGTCTGCTCCACTGTGAGAAAACTCACAGCTGATGCGAAAAGCTACCTGTCTGTAGCCTCTCTAGCCTTGGTTGGTCTGAAACTCCCTACTCGATCCACTGCTTGCTGCTTCTTGTCAAATGCCTTGTGTTGTCGGGGGAGGAACGCAGAAGGGCGGAGGGATTTTCACTGGATGGAATACCGCCTGCAGAACTTGCACTGTGCTAATGGCCGAGTGAAAAATGTGCAGGAACATCTGGAGTTTTGGGGGACGGAGTTGACATGAGGACGAGGCAGGTGAAGTGTGGATATTTGGATGATACGAAACACCTGAACCTTGTGCCAGCAAAGCCAATGGAGTCCATACCAATCAAAAGAGCAACTCACCACAACAGAGCTGATCTCAGGCTTGACTTTGTTTGGTTTGGTGTTGCATGACCTTGCTGTTCTCTGCTTCTGGTTTCCCCCTGTGCTTGCCCTTCCAGCTGTTGAAGCCCATCTGTCACCTTTATAATAATTGACCCCCCTGTTGTTTCCCCTCCTTACAAAATTTCTTGGGAGGGAAAAACAAAACAATAAGAGTGACTGTTTGTTGGGGGCGGGGGGAGGGGTTGCCATGTGTCTCCATGTTTTATGTCTTGCATCCATTATCTGCATTTGTGCAAAGGCTGTCTTACATTTTTGCATGTAATGTGGTGGACTGTGATTCTGGATTTTTAGATGCTGTAGTAATGCAAGTGATGTCTAGGCAAGCTTATGGATTAAAGCCGAAGAGATTTGTTTGCAGCAAGGTTATCTGCTTAGTCACCTACAGCAACAGATATTTTTTTTAATCGTATAGCAACGGCAATGCTTTAGAAAGCTCCCAAACCCAAATATCTTCACAGCTTTATGTCTAAATATTTCTTTCATTTACCGGGGTGGGGGGGGAGAACCTTTTCTGCAGCCAACCCGCCCTGCCTCTTGTTATTTCATCCAGTCTTCAAGACTGGTGTTGACTGTTGAATTCTTGAAATTGTGATAGCCGTCGTTCTAAATGGCAAACTGGCATTTACTCCAACTGCAAGTTGAGGGAAAAAAAAATAACTAAAGCATCCTTCATAAGTACCAGTTCAAGGGGGGGAAAAGGAGCTTCCTGCTTTGTGGTCTCTTTCACATCAAAGCTAGGATCTTCGGAGGCTTTGTACATCAAAGTTATTCTTAATGCATTGTTTAGCTCTCTCAGCCCCTTTGTTGAGTGATGAGGGGGAACGGAATGGTTTGCATTTAAACACAAAACCCCTGAAAATGGGCTTCGAGTTATACAGCAAGTAGCCCCTTCCAGCTGTGGAACATAGGTTCAGCGAACACCCACTAGAGCTGTCTCCTGTTCTGCTTGCAGGCTGTCTCCCAACACCATGGTGACACCCCACAAGAAGAGCATGCTGGGGAACGGAAACTATGATGTGAACGTGATCATGGCAGCACTTCAGACCAAAGGTTATGAGGCGGTTTGGTGGGACAAGCGCAGGTACTGAGAAGTCGTGTAATTCTGGAAATGGCTGCCATTTGTAAAAACGAGAAAGAAGTGAAGTACCAGAATATAATCTTATCACTGTCTTGTTTTTTGCACCCTTTCAGAGATGTTAACGTCATCGCCCTGTCTAATGTGATGGGCTTCATCATGAATCTGCCCTCCAGCCTTTGCTGGGGCCCCTTGAAGCTCCCCCTCAAGCGACAGCACTGGATCTGCGTCCGGGAGGTGGGAGGCACCTACTACAACCTCGACTCCAAACTCAAGATGCCCGAGTGGATTGGAGGTGAAAGTGAGCTCAGGTAGGATTTTTTTGTATCCTTTTCTTCCTCAAATCCTTCCCTGTTGGAGGTGGGGAATCTGTCTGTCAGCAGTTAGCAATTGAAACGTTTATGGTTGACCTTCCATAGCAAGGATGTAAGAATAATAAGGTTCTTATGCCTCAGGTTAGGTTTATACCCTGTTTGTGCAAAGCTAGGAAAATGCTTTTGGCAGTGGTGATCTCTGCGAGTTTGGGAGAACCTGACTTGGTCTCTTCTGTGGCTGGCTGTCACTAGTGACGAAGGTAGAGGCCAAGTCTGGTATTAGTGGGTGACACCTACAATGAGATGTGCTGTGCCTCGCTTTCTCCTCAAACGTGAGTGTGTCAGCATTCCTTTGCCTCTTTAGCGGTCTGTGCATACTTTCCCAACGAAAGCCTTTCCGGACTTGAAGTGCAGCCTTATCCCTGACAGCAGCGAAAGCCGCTTGTTAGGAATCACTTGTCTATGTAAGCATATGCTGTGCTTCTGGCTTGACTCCCTTCCCTTCTTTCATCTTAACACAAGACAGTAGGTGTAATTACTTTGATTGTAAAGTCTCACCTGCTCTTAGTCGCTGTTTAGCTTCCATTCTATCCTGTTCTAAAGCCTACTAGCAGCTTTGCTGTTTTGACTAGACTTGTTTGGAGGTAGGGATTGCACATGAGCAATATCTGCAGAGCCTGCCATGCCATTAAAGTCTTGATAAAGCCTTTTGTGAACTTCTGGGATAATGCAACACAGTTCTGGAACTACTGTGCAGAGCTTCTGGGGGATTTTATCCTGAGTGTGCTGTTCTTCAGCAATAAATAAGGGCTTCCTATACAGGGAATGTTGGAAATCTGGGCCAAAAGATATTGGGGAAAAAACATTGACTTGAATTTCATAGTTATTGGAGATAACCCAAGTTTGGTATTAGAAGAAGCTTATGGGCAGAAAGGGGCTGCAGAACCATGTCAAATAGCCGGCTGGTACGCTGCTGCTATGACCTGCAATAAGGATATGTAAATGATGGTTTTGTTTTGGGGGTTTCTTTTCCCCACAAGTATTCCAGATTTGTTGGAATTATTTTAAAATCTAGTGGGATTCTTGATCTTGGGGATCTGAAGAAACTGAATTTGTTTTTAATTCTGTTTTTGCCACCTTGAAAAATTGGAAAGTGGCATCTGTAGAGACTTAATCTCTGCTGAGGTTAAGATCACGTTTATCCGATTCTGTGATAATCTGCTGGGTAGAGGTGTGTTGAATCTGGTGAGGCAAGTCTAACATTTGTTTGTGGGGGTTTTTTTGTCAGGAAAAAACCTAAAGCCAATGTGTGGGGGCTTCCTCCCATTTCTTGTCATATTTGCATAGTTAGCTGCATTTTCTTCTTGTAGAAGACGAAGAAGTTCTGCATTTGGTAGCGCTTATTTCTGTTTCTCTTTATGATAGGAAATTTTTGAAACACCAGCTGAGAGGAAAGAACTGTGAACTCCTGCTGGTGGTGCCAGAGGAGGTGGAAGCACATCAGAGCTGGAGAGCTGATGTGTGACCCGGACCGACTCTGTCCTCCCACTACAGCTCTTCCCCCTTTAATGAACTCCTGACGCCCTGAAACCTGGATAATGGGTGCCCTGACTCTTCTCGTCTGGAATTCCCTTTGTTAGGCTCTTCTCTTCCTTCCTTGGTGCAATAGGGCAACGGCGTAGGACATTGGGGGTGGTGGGTGGGGAAGACTTGAGGGCAGAGCAGAGGAAACTGGAAGCCAATCACTTTATTTGCAAAGAGTTGCGTGCCCTTCAGCTAGTGAGAAGGCATTGCACTCTTTAAAACTGGGCTTTGGGGCTAGGGTGTCTGGAGGGCTCTGGCCCCCCTTCCCCCATATGGTTCAAGGCTGCGTGTGGTGGGATGTGGCTCCCCCCGGGGCTTGCCGGGGAGGAGCAGGGGCCGAGCACGCTGCCGCCTCTTCACAAGTCTCTCCCTCCAAAACAAGTCGTTGTGAAGACGTTTGCAATTCCTAAGGGTCTCTCAGGACACTCTCAAACACTAGGAATGGTACGGTGCTCAGCACGACCCTCTGCTTCCTAGGGATGGTTTGTGCCAGGAATTAGAAAACAATAATAAAAACAGTGTCATCTTTGAAGGAATTCTTTGGGTAGCTAGAGGATTCTTCCCCAGTGTCTCCAGGGATTTATGCATGTGGCGAGCAGTTGTTCGGCAGCATGTGGCTGGCTAAGGCAGTGTGGAAACAGCAAGCACAGGCTAATTGAGGAGTATTGAGTTTCTGGACTGGAGAGAGGCCATAGTCTGCTTGGGTTTCTTTGTGCTACCTTGGATTTTGTTGGGTTTTTTTTTCTTTTTTAACATCTGTTTTGGTTTTCTGCATGGTCACCCAGTAGTTTAGGGTCTGCTGGGAGAGAGGAATAAAACTGAAGGGTTTTTGAGAGGAATTCATTCCCTTTTATTTTCCTCTTTCCAAGAGTCCAGCCCACAGTTGTGAATGTCATGCGAAATGTCTGAGAAAGAGGTAAAGTTACAAAGAAAAAAAATGGCCTGAGGAGGGACGCCTTTATAATAGTCAGGTTTTGCCCTTTTCATAGTTACTAGCTGATAATGTGGGGAGATGCAGAGGGTCCACCAGAACCTTCGGGCATTAGAGAGACCCTGGCCTGGTAGTTGAACCAACCTCTCTTTTAGTGTTGGCCGACAAACATTCCATTAATGGACAAATTGCTTTTTCCTCCCCTCCCTTCTGTGGGGAAGAGTGACTAGATGTGGAGATGCTAAGAGGAATCTCCACTGGCTGTTTCCTGGTCACCTGGGTGAGCTATAGCTCAGTCATGCCTTCCACAGCAGGAGGGAATGCTGAATTTGGAACAGACTTTGTTGTGTTTAGCTGCTGTTTGCTTCCCTCTTTTACATGTGGGATGTCTCAGTTAAACAGCAATCTCTGGGATGTGACGGAGCTTGAAGGATCCTGCTCCATCATGCAGGAAAGTGTCACTACTGGTGTTTTGAGCTCGCAAAAGGAGGGGTTGTAACTACCTTTTATCAGTTACTTTATCTCGAGAGCTCTGCAAACGCATGAGCAGGTGCTCCAAACCGAGAGACCACCAAAATTGCACCTTCCTAACAGAGAACAGAGGTCACGTGATGATGGGACGATGCTGTTCACTGACCCTGGACATCTGGCAAGCACCGTTTTGCAGTCTTTTGAGCACAGCCTCCTGCAGTCAAGGGCAAATGGCTCTTCTGTTTTAAAGACCCATCGTTTCTATAAAAAGTCTGATTTCGTAACACATTCCAATGACCGATACCAGCTGGCAGTTTTGAAACACTTTACAGGCAGGATGCGCAGCCTGCAGGCATTCTGCTCCTGACTTGAAGCCATTTCTTCAAGAGGGGAGAAAAAAATAAATCTCAACAGCGAGGTTTTCTATGCTGATTAAAGTCGCACTTTGGAGAAACCCTGTTTGCATGGAAACCGCAAGCCAATGGCGCAGTGCACAATATGCAAAGATGTTTTAAAATATTTTGGGGCTATGTTCCTCTCCTTGTATGTCAGCTCCTTTCCTGTTGGGGGTGGGGGGGTAAAAAACGGTGTGATCCGGCTGCTCAGGTAAAGGGAAAGTGTATGATCACACCCCTGCAGGAGGTGAGCCGGTTCAGTCCCACTGCTTGTGGGAGTGGGGAAGCCCCATGTTTGTTTTCTTGCTTGTTTGGTTTTGTTAGAGCCTTGTCTTGGGTTTGTTTACAGAGATGTATTTTGTTTAACCAAATATTAAAAATGGGAAAGAAAAAAAAGTTTCCATATAAATGTCCTATCACTTCTGTATGTTCAACTGAATTGTTCTGTAACAAAGTATGTAAAGGAAAAATAAATCTTTTTTTTCTTTGGTAAAACTGTAACCTTTCTGCAAGTTAAGATAAAGTCACCTCTCTAAGAACTCCCCTAAGCCCTGCACAGCTCTCTTGGCCACCTGAAGGTGACAGAGCTGTTATCTGTCCCTTCCCCTGGTGCCAGGCCCTGTGCGGAACGGAAGGGGCTCTACCCTCAAAGCCACCAACAGCTCGGAAAGGACTGAGCCTCCCTAAAGGACGCCTATTAAAATCACACTGCTCAGGTTGGATTTATTTAATATTCAATACAAAAAAAATACGCAGCCGATATCTGAAGTTCTACTTTTATGAGGCAGAGGATCAGCGCGGACGTGATCATCTTGAACCTGGCCTGCCGCTCCCTCTGTTCTCACGCGCGCGCACGTGAAGTTGCAGCGAAATTATTTTTGCAGATGCATCTTCCTGGAGAGTGTTTTCTGCGGGGTACGGCTACCTGCACCCCTCCTTCCTTTGCTTTGCCTGCCAGGGAAGTCACTCCTCCTCCTGTCACCGGTGTCCTTCAGCTCCGGGTCAGCCAGGAAAGGATTTGTTTGACTGTCACCTTTCGAAGCCTGACCTGTACCCCGGGGTGGTTTTTTGGGGGGGGAGCGAGGAGGCTGGAAGAGGAACTCTCCCAGTTCAAGTCTGTAACTGGTGATGGCGTACTGATTGCATAAAAGGAAAGACTCAGGCCTTGGAGGGGGGAAAGGATGCAGAGAGGAGCTGTCGTCAGGTCCAGGGGTGGGGGGCTTTCCCCCCCTCGTTATGAACGGGTCAATGTCCCAAAGGAGAACCAAAAATAAAAACAAACAAACAGGAGGAAAAACAAAACAAAACTAAAATGCCCTGACCCAACAAATCAACAGTTCAATCTATCATAATCTCGAGGTCTTCCCACATGATATGAATCCCAATGCAGCTTCCGTGAGTTAGATTTTTCCAGACAGCGGAGGCAGGGCCCCTGGCATTCCCCCCGAGAGCCCCGTGTTGGGTCCAAGGAGGATCTGGAAGGAAAAGGGTCAGCGGAGGGGCTGCGAGGACACAGGCCGGCCGCCGCAACCCCCCCCCCCCCCCCCCCCCCCCCCCCGCCTCCACCCGCGCCGCCGCCGGGCCGCCG